GTCCCACCACCATCCCTCTGATCCCACCATCTCCCTGGTCCCACCACCATCCTCCTTGTCCCACCATCTCCACCCCAGTCCCACCACCATCCCTCTGATCCCACCATCCCCTTGGTCCCACCATCTCCACCCTGGTTCCATCATCATCTCCCTGTTCTCAGCATCCCCACCCTGGTCTCAGCATCAACCCCTTGGGTCCCATCACCATCCCTCTGATCCCACCACCATCCTCTTTGTCCCACCATTTCCACCCCAGTCCCACCACCATCCTCTTGGTCCCACCATCTGAACCTTGGCTCCATCACCATCCCTCTGGTCTCACCATCCCCTGCCTCCTTCCACCACCGTCCCTCTGGTCCTATCACCACCCCCCCGATCCCACCACCATCCCTCTGGTCTCACCACCATTCCTCTGGTCCCAGCATCCCCACCCTGGTCCAACTATCATCCCCTTGGGTCCCACCACTGTCCCCCTGGTCCCATCACCAACCCTCTGATGCCACCATCCCCTTGGTCCCACCATCTCCACCCTGGTCCCATTACCATCCCTCTGGTGCCACCACCATCACCCTGCTCCCAGCATCCTCATCCTGGTCCCACCACCATCCTCTTGGTCCCACCATCTCCACCATAGTCCCATCACTATCCCCTACCTGGTCTCACCACCATCCTCTTGGTCCCACCATCTTCACCCTGCTCCCACCACCACCCCCCTGGTCCCACCACCTCTTCCCGCACCCAAAACGCCCCAAGCCACCGCCATGCCCACCTGTGGTCTCCTCGGGCTTGATCTCCGCCTCAAACTCCAGCGTGATGCGCGTCACCTCCTTGCTGGAGGAGTTGCGCGCCCGGCGCCCCTTCCCCTTCTTGGACGAGTCGCACTTGAGGTTGACGAAGGCGACCTGGCAGTCGGAGCACGGATGTACATGGGGGGACGAGTCAGGACCTCATCCCTCTGGGGGGTACAAACATCCCTGCCTGCCCCCTGCCATCACCTCACCTTGTGCCCCAACCTTCCCGGCCTCGTCCTGCTTGCCCTTGGCCCGCGGGTGCAGGTGGCACTTGGCATCCTTGATCTTGAAGGACGCTTTTTGCTTGATTGGTGCGGCCACAGTCTCTAAAAGAAAAGGTGGGCGCTCAACAACCCCGGTATGGGGCAACCTGGCCAGTGGTGGCCTGGGGGCACCCCCGGGAGCCTCCCCCCCCCTTACCGAGGCACTGCTGGCTGCTGTTGGCGGGTCTCTGGTGGCCGCCGCAGGACGGGGGTCCCGCAGCTCACCGTGTAGCTGCTGTCCGACTCTGCAGGATGGGGGAAGAGGAGTCAGGGGATGCGGGAGCGGTCAGGGGGGACGATGCTGAGCACCTCAATCCCCCACCAGGGACCCATCCCATGGACCCACACCCAGTGACCACCTCCCCCACAAGTTTGGGGACACGGGGACAGGCCGGTACCTGGCAGGAAGCGGGCCCTGGAGGCGCAGGTGAGGGCACAGCTGTCCTTCTTGCCCGTCTTGTTGCAGGTGAGGGTGGCCCGCGGTGGCACCGAACCTGGCAGGCATTTCACCAGCTCGGAGGGACAGGCGCCGGCTGGTGACGGGGACACTCGCGGCTGGCACGGCCCTGGGACCCCCAGGGACCCCTGTGTCCTCCTGGGTCACGGGGGATTCACCGGGGAGGAGAGGGGGCCAGAGCATGGCATGGGGATCCCCTACCAGCATCCCACCCCCTCCAGCTCCTCCTTGGATATGGGATTGATGGGATTTCAGGTTTTTTTGGGGATAGTTGGGTAGCAGGGCCATGAAAGCAGCTCCCTTAGGGACATTTTCTGGTGCACAGCCAAAAAATCAATGGGACCACCAAGGGCAGAGGCAGCAGGGCAACACCTTCTCAACCAGACCCATGCGAGCTGGACACCGGGGCCCAAACAAAAGCAGCCACCCCAGTGCCCCAAAACCCCTACGCTGCCCCCACCCAGACCTTAATCTCAACAGGCCCAGGTGATGGAGGGGCCATGGGGCATCAAGACCCCTGGCTGGGGGGTGTCTGGGCTGTGCTGGAGCATCCCTGGCCATGATGGGTCCTGTCCCCACGTACCAATGCAGTCCTTTTTGTTCCAGTGCAGCTTGCAGCCAGCAGGACAGGTACACTGGTAGCTGCCGGGCGTGTTGATGCAGCCAAATTTGCAGCCCCCGCGGTTGATGCTGCATTCGTCAACGTCTGCGGGGGAGAAGGGAGAGGTGGTGGGCAAGGGGATGCAGGACCCCCCCGGCTCTGGCAATGTCTCAGGGCTGGCATTTCGGATGGATAAATGGCACAACCCATGCCCAGATGGAGATGGGCATCATGGGGCGCTTCCTGTTATGCCTTGTCCCCGCAGCCACCCCAGCCCCATGGGGATGATGGAAATCCTGACCCCTGGTCTCCCCATGGCCGGGTGGTGATGGGCGCAGCCCACCCAGGCTGAGCCTGCCCCGAAGGAGGGCTGGGAGCTGTGGGGAGCAGCAGACGGAGCTGACATGGAAGCACTTAGCAGCCCAATTCAAAAACCAGCTGCTCAGCAGCCCTGGCCCCTCTCCCTGCAACGGGGACCCTCCGTCCTGGCCCAAAACAGGGAACCGATCCTCCAGGACAAAGCAGAGATAGAGGTGAGAAGCAGCCAGGGTCTGCATTGCCCCCCAAAGATCCCTCCCTGCCCAGCTCCCCCTTCTTGGGAGCATTGGAGGGAGCCAGCGACCACTGCAGGGTCACACTGAGCATCCTGGCTGCGTATTTTGGGAGCAGGGGGAGGATCACCCGCCCTCACCAGCCAGGCAGCACCAGAGCCCTGACACGCTCCGACAACCCCCCCAAATTGTGTCTCATCTGCCTCCCTGTGTCCCAGGGCGCCGCACGCCCCCGCCCTTGGGAGCTTTCTGCCTTGCGCAACTTAAATCAAACCCTTTTGATGTTCCCCTTCCCACCCCGTCCCTGCTCCCTGCCAAAAACGCTGGGGATTTCTCCCTCTCTCCGGCTGCAGACAAGTCACAAACCGTTCCCCTCGCTCCGTTTGAAGTCGCAGACACCAGCGCCTGGCTGAGAGCCCCCTCCCTGCACGGCCCCAGCTTGGGGTACACAGAGAACCGACCCCCTCCCCGTCAGCCCTTGGTGTGAGCGGTGTCCCCATGACCCCAGTGGGGCGATGGGGTCCTGCCAGGACCCAGCCAGCCCTACCTCCACAGTGGGTGAGCCCGTAGAGCGTGTAGCCCTTGTTGCAGAGGCACTGGAAGCTGCCGGGGGTGTTGACGCAGAGGTGGTCGCAGGTGCGGTCGAAGGAGCACTCGTCAATGTCTGCAGGAAGGGTAAAGTTTTGGGGTGAGGGCTGGCACAGCCAAGGGGCAGCCCTAGGCACAAGGGCTGTCCCTTTCCTGCTCCAGCAACTGGGGGTGCACTGGGATGCTTCAAGATCCAGCACTGGAATGCTGGGAGATCCTGCATTGGGATGCTCCAAGATCCAGCACTGGGATGCTGGGGGACCCAGCACTGGGATGCTCCAAGATCCAGCACTGGGAAGCTGGGAGATCCAGCACTGGGATGCTCCAGGACCCAGCACTGGGATGCTGGGGGATCTGGCACTGGGATGCTCCAAGATCCAGCACTGGGATGCTCTGAGGACCCAGCACCGGGATGCTCCAAGATCCAGCACTGGGATGCTGGGGGACCCAGCACTGGGATGCTCCAAGATCCAGCACTGGGATGCTCCAGGACCCAGCACTGGGATGCTGGGGGATCCTGCACTGGGATGCTCTGAGGACCCAGCACCGGGATGCTCCAGGACCCCATGCTCCCATCCTGCCTGCCCCCAAGCTCCCTCCTCACCCACTCCGACTGCTGCTACATGGAAGAGCAG